CGGCGAACCATCCAGATATTTGAGCAAATGAAATTCCCTCTTCAGCGATATATCTTCAGCAAATGACCACTTCAGGTTGTGAATTATTTCCAACAAATCCTTTAATACTAAGAAAAATTGTAATTATAAAAAATTTACACATAAAATATTACCACACTAAAATAATAAACATTGAAAGGCAAGTAAGAAAAATATATTACCTCTCAAAAGGGTACATCCATCTTAATTGTACAGGGCCCACCAAAGTCTCCACTTCTTCAAACCAAATGGGATTGAGCAAGTGGACCCAATGATAGTGACGAATGATGGGAGAAAGTACTCCATATTACATAAAGTTTAATGCAAAAGTTCCTTCTATTTTTTGGTAAGTTCAATTGGATTTATGACCTTCTCACATATGAATTTCAAGAAAATGTGAAATCCCAACAATTATGGTCAAAAACTTCATTTGATGGAGCACATGGATTCTTAATGCAATAGGCATATATCCTAATTAGTACTGACAATCGTGGCTTTTGTTAGACCTATTATTTTTTGCCCTCTTTAATGTTAACACCCTTAGAAATATTTGACTTGAAATAACCCTTGGGTAACTTGCATCTTCTTGAGACTTCAACAAAACATCATCTTATCCTTCTTAGACATGGTAAATAGAGCTGGTGGTAAAAACATAAACTACCAATCTGAAAGAACATGAGGATGCATGTTCAAGGCTTTACTCCAAATTTGAACCAAATCTTATCGGAGCTTGTAAGTTATCTTTAGATTTCTCAAGATCTAGCAATGTAGAAATGAAAAGTTATCAAAATATTTTTCTCTATATAACATGGAATCTTAAATTATGAGGTAATTGTGTTATTTGGCCAATAAGATCAAATAAAAAAATATTGATTTCTTCTCCACATAGTGACCATACTGTCATTGAATAGGCATTGCAGCTTATACCCTCTCTTCAAATATTTTTAACCTATCTTTATCAATTTTTCCAAGAGTGGAATTGATGATTCTGTAATTCAGTACAACTTCACTGCCCAAAAATCCTTGAAGGCGCCAAATCTGAGTTCAAATTATATTATCAGTATTGGTTTTGCTTGCGAAATAAATGAGGTATGAATGTAAGCAACCGTTCGGTGGCCATATATGCACTTCTTACTCTTTTACAACCATAAGGACTCCGTTATTGTGGGCAACAACATGGACAAGCAAATCTGCCTTTGTGGCTCACCCCGACAACATGCCATATGCGGGAAAGTCATTAAACAGTCATAATAATGCTGCACGCATCATGAAAAATTTCTCCTCTTGCTGCATCATAACATTGAACACCTTGCCATAGATGGTTTGTAATTCATGAATCAAAGGTTTAAGATACAATGTCAATGTCATTTCCATGACTTTTTTCACCTGGTATAATCATTGAAAGAATGAATGATGAATTATTTGCATTCCAACTCACAGGGGGGCATATTATATGGCACTAGAATCACTGGCCCAAATGTTGTATGTGCTACTCATAATCTTGAAAGGGATTAAACGCATCAATAGCTAAACCAAGGCGAACATTACGTGGATCTGCGGAAAAATCCAGGAAATTTGTAATCAAAATGAATTTCCAATGCTTTCCATCAACTTGGGAGTCCGCGGCATAACCATCTTTATTTCGTTGTGTGGCAATGGCCCAAATCATCTCTTCTGCCATTTTTTTGGTTTTAAATATCTTGAAGTCTTGGAATTAAAGGGAAAATATCGTGCAGAATCTTAGCAGGTTTCATTTGAACTTTTTTTTCTTTTTGTAATATTGCTTCTTTTGATTAGGGAGTCCATCTTGATGCTCCACATACTTCACATACATTCTCATTAGACTTAATCTGCCCAAAATAAGGCAATCATTAGGGCATGCGTGTATCTTGGAATAACTAAGATCAAGAAGCCCTTCATTGTATTTTATACTTTCAATATATACTTTTGGGCAATGATGATCCTTGCAGAAAATGCTTCAATTAAGTAACTCTAATAACATATCGAAAGATCTTGCCAATCCGCAAGAGTTAGGAATTTCAAATGAAATAAATGTAATATGAACGAACTTTTGAAAATGTTTACATCCGGGATATAATTTCTGCCGCCCACATCTTCCAATAACTTTGATTGTTTTTCATGGCTGATCTACTAAAGTTTTGATTGGAGCAGAATGTAATCCCTCAATAAGCCTTCAATATCCATTCTATATGAGATGGAATCCATTTTGAAGTAGTTTCTGATTCAAAATCCAGACATATTAACAACACCTTCCTTTTATGTAACCTTTAACAACAACTTGATGATCCTCCCATGGTCGAATTCCAAACAACATAGCCCGTAAAGAATCCAATTGATGATAATGTGTTCCCTTGACATCTTGGTATTGATATGAAAATATCTGTTGATGCATGATTTGCCAAATCGGGCATAATATCTTCTGGTAGATTATTACTAACGACTAGCAAAATCTAAAAATCTTCAACTCCTTTTTTTGTAATTCAACTGACTCCATCTTGAACATAGTTATCCAACTCTTATTCATTTTAAATTCAACTGACAATTTATAACAATTGGAAAATAATCAAAAAAACTATTTTATTTCATAGTTTTAAGTAGTCTCAGCTAGAACTACTAAAAGTTAAATATAGAAATAAGCAAAGCACATCAAAACAAAAATTTTCAAATGAATAGTTAATTGGAGAAATATAATAAAATTTTGTAATCAATCTAGGAAACCTGATTTAATGCATGCAACATGTATATGTATATTAAGAGATAGATACTCTCTAAAGCAGAAAAACTATCAAAGCATCTTCCACGAACAGGAAATCACTGGAGCACTTCTAATACTCTAATTGGGGTTTGCTGAACGTGACACAATTACGCATGAAGTTTAACAAAGATAATGAATATGCTGACGGAAAACCTCTTAAATCATCAATCATGACCTTTAAACGATTTGAGGCATTAATACAAAGGAAACCAACATCAGACTGCAGCATATTGCGAAATGACAAAATAGTCCTTTCAGGCTGTCTGATAAGGACCTCTTAAATTGATTTTGATAGTAGAGAAGGCAAACTGACAGGAATAAAATGTGTAAAATGATATCATACAAAGAAGAGATGAAAAATTTCCCATCAATTTGTTGTTGCTATAAATGAGGAAAATTCTAAAAAAAACAATTTTCCTACCGATTTTCAAGCTGTCTTAGATGAAAAAAACTAGTCCAGCATTGAGGCTAAGGAAAGCTCAATCATGGACAATCCAACTGATAGTTGGTCAACATAAAGTACAATAAACAAGACAAGTCAGCCGGATACATGATAACAACCACAACAGAACTTGGTGCAACAACCCCATCATAATAAATATGCTCAGTTTGAATCCCTAAATCACACCATCAGGAAGCGTGGAACGCCCCTTAATTTTTCATAGGAGGCAACTCTTATGTAAAAGTGTAGATTGGCTCGACCCCTATTTTGTTAATTAGCTTGATCGTGTTGTACACTTCCATGAAGTATGTTCGGGGTCAAGGGGCAACGCCGGTTTGCCCCTGCGAAGGATTTTGTAAGTATTATTTTTTTATTGTCTTACTATTTCTTATTGTATTTGGGTTTTCATCGTTACCTAAAAATAAACACATCAACACAATGTGTTTTAGAATTACAGACCATAGTATTTTAAAATTTTTTAGGGGGGGGACAGATTGCCTCAAAACCCTTGTAATAAACTGTTTTATTTTTTTTGTTAAGGGGGTTTAGGGGTACCCAGCGGTACCGAGCTGGGTACCTACCAATGAGATGACATAAAGCATTTTTATTGATCTCCAGACGTACTCCACACCTGATAATTTCTCCTTTCAATGGGTACCCAACCGCCTCAAGATCCATTAGCTCTGCTCAATCAACTATTAGAAGTTATTATTACCTTATTCCCCTACAGTCTAACAAATCAAAAGTTTCTATCTCCTCAAAGGATATAACAGAAGTGTCTTCACCCTTACTTATCACTATACACGTGTACAAATAATGATAATATATGTAAAAGGGTTTACTTTAATTAAGAAAAAAGTATAAACCTATTAATTTAATCTTTATACCTATTAAAATACAACTAATATTAACTTATTTAAAGTAAATACATCTTTTAATATATATCTATGTGATTTAAACAAAAAATATTATACATATAAATATAAAATATATTTTCATTACAATATTTTATATGTAGATAAGTCCACATAAATTTTCTATTTTATATTATTTATTTTTATAAAAAAAAATCTTTTTTATACATTATTTAAAATAAGTACTCTAGGTGTTTCGTTTCGGACAATTTTCTTAAAGGAACTTCCAAATACCAAATTTTTAAAATAAAAAAAAAAATTACTAAAAATTTGCTTTATAAAATAGTAAGACAACTGTCCCAAATCGAAAATAGAGAAAATATCTTGGTGTTTGATAGAAAACCATAGCCTTTAAATAAATTTAAGTTCAAATTAGTAAGATTCATCATTTTTTTTTCCTTTAAATTTTCTTATAATATTAGAATATATATTATAAAATTTTGTCCCAATGGGTCAAACAGCTCAGCAGCATCTTCAAGCAAAAAAAAGTCAAAGCAGCTTGCAGGATCTTATCTTAAAAAAAATTCAGAGATCAATCAGAATATCCTACGTCATTTTTTTGCTCGATACCGCTGTATACTGGATGACGTTAAGCGTTCTAATTGATATCAAAATCGTCTATAGAATAATTTCTCCTAATCTGCAGACTGTCATATCAAACATTTTAGTAATAATTTACAACTCCATGAAGAAAAGAGAAATTGATAATATTTAAAATATATCTGATAACTTTAATTAATAAAACACAGTAAAAAATGAAAACTAGCTATTTGATTTTTTTTTTTCAAAAATATGATAAATAATTTATGATAATTTATAAATAATTATTCAGATCAGATTTAAAAAATTGTCATCCGAACTTGGCCCTGATCTGCTTGACAACTTCCTCCTCCACTCCGAACGCTTCACTCAACACCACATCGGGCACCGCCGGCTTCGACCCGAAAAGCGACCGCGCCGCAATCACCGTTCCCGGAAGCTGGCTATTAAACGCCACGGTGGCCGCCGCCGTCACCTCTCCCACGTTATATTGGAAATGCATCAGACCCATGGGTATTACAAACAGCTCCCCAGCTCCGACAACCTTGGAGAAGTACCTGCCATCGTTGGCCACGAAGCCGACAAGGAGTTGACCCTCGGTGACGAAAACAAGCTCGGTGGCGCGGGGGTGAGTGTGGGGTTGGACGAGGCCGGCGGGGGCGAAGACGACGCGAACTAAGGAGATGCCGAGAGTGTTCAGTCCAGGAAAGGAGAGCACGTCGGCGAAGCTGGCGTTGGCACCGAAGCGGTCGTTGGTGGTGAGATTGATGGAGAGGATGGTGGAAAAGAAGTCGTCGGGGGTGACAGAGGAGGAGGGCTTGCATGGGAAGCCATTGATGGAGACGGTGTTGGGGGAGTTGGGTGCGGCGACGCAGAAGTCTTGGTTGGGTTCGGGATCATAAGCGGCCGTAGGCGGGAAGAGGAGGGAGGAGTGGAGGAGGAGGAGGAGAGATTGTGATAGGTAATGGTGAGAGCTCATTTTCATGCTTTGGTGGGATTTTGGTGAGGTGGGGGAGAGGGAGGGAGGCATGGGCTGGTTTATGTAGAATTAAATCGATTTGGAGAGGGGGCGAGAATTTTTCGAGCACCTTTACTGATACTCTATTGTGGTATTAAGTTAACAATAAGTAAAATATTAACCAAAAGTACATTTTTTTCCTGGGAAGCTCACCTAACAGATTTCCTGTAGCAGCACAGCACGTTTAGAGAACTTAGTTTATTGCACTTTTTGTGCAGAATGAATTACAGATAAAAGCAAGTCGCAGTCACCAACCACCACCACATGGAGATTGGAAGATAAGGCGTGAATTGTTATGACAAATCCATGGAAACCTGCTTATAAAAAGGAGCAGTTAAAGAACAGCTAAGTGAGGAAGAGATGCAGCTAAGGGCTCATTTGGTAGCTCGTAAATGAAATCATTTTTCTCCATTGAGCAGTTAAACAATCATTTTTCTCCATTGTGTTCGGTTAAAAATCAAATTTTTGTTTAAATCTAATAAATAAATATCATTTATAATATTTTCCAACGAATTTTTTTAGGTCTATCTCTACCTTTATTAATCTAATTCAAATCTAATGCCTCTACTTTCCTAACCGGGTCATCAGAAGGCCGTTGTTTATGTGATCGAATCATATAAGGTGACTCTCTCTAATCTTATCTTCCACTGGAGCTACTCCAATCTTTTCACGTATATGCTCATTTCGTATCCCGTCTCTAAGGGTAAATCCACTCATCCACCTGAGCATACTCATTTCTGCAACACTTAACTTAGTATCAAACTTCTCTTATTATGGCCAACATTCTGCACCATAAAGCATTACAAGTCTCACCACAATGCTCTCCGAAAGTTTTTTTTAATAAGAGAGCATATTATTAGAACACAACAATTAAATAAATCATTGTATTATTTACGTTTGCTTATGTGGCTTTCTCCAATTGGTTAAGCCTTATCTTTACTGCTTTACTTGTACTATAAATACTTATCCCTTCAGATGAATAAGATAACGCTTTCATTTCTTGCTTTTCTGTTTTGTCTCGTTTCTCCGGTTCTTGAACCGAGAGTTTCTACATGGTATCCAGAGCTTGGAACGATCTTCTTCTTTCTCCCTCCCCATGAGCTCCGCAACCTCTCATCCTGGCGATCAAGAAGACATGGACGAGATCACCGATCCTTCCATTCCTTCTGCCCTCAAATTCGTCGTCGCCAATCTGAAAACCATTGTTCCGGTGCAACTCGACGCCGACAATTACCCCGTCTGGAAAGCCCAGATCGCAAAATTACTCCGAGCAAATCGGTTTGAGAAATTTCTTGATCTCAATCACTCATCTCCCCCTCCACTTCTCTATAATCCCGATGGCTCCTCTGCGCAAAATCCTCTGCATACACAGTGGCTGCTCAACGACCAGAACCTCGCCGCTGCCATCTACTCGACGATTTCGCCTTCCCTTCTTCCTTACGTCGTCAATCTGGATTCCACGCGATCTGGTCTACATTAGAAACCCGCTTCCAGTCCACCAACAGATCGAAGGTTATACAACTCAAGAACTCCCTCCACAACATTTCTCTCAAGAACCAAACCGTTACGCAATACCTCTCGACCATCAAGACAATCGTCAATCAAATCTCTGCTTCTGGTTCGACGGTTGACAACGAAGATGTAATCCTTTACATCCTCAATGGTCTACCTTCCTCCTACCAGTCATTCAAAACTGCAATCAGAACCATGCTTCACCCGCTCTCCCTCGATCAGCTCTATCTGTTATTACTCAGCGAGGAAATCAACATTGCTTCAGACTCTGCTCGAGCTTCTTCCGATCCAGATCCTACATCCGCTCTCTTCACCTATCGCGGGCGTGGCAGACGATCTCGCGGCCGTAACTCAAACTCCTCAAATCGATCCAACGCCAACAGCAACGTGATCTGTCAAATCTGTTCCAAGAAAGGTCACACAGCATCTAACTGCTGGCATCGCATGGACTCTACCTATACAGCTCCGACTACTCAGAACAAAGCACTCGCCGCCAATGCCGATACCAATTATTCTAATTGGTTTCTCGACTCCGGCGCTACCAACCATCTCACAAACACGCTCGACAACATGTCAATCTCGAACCCTTATCACGGTCCCGACACCGTCACCGTAGGAGATGGGAGATCGATTAACATTGCCAATACTGGTACCGGCTTGTTACCGACTCCCCATCGTGAGCTCTCTTTATCCAAAATCCTTCATACACCTTTCTTGCATTTCAATTTACTTTCTATCTCCAAACTAACAAAAGACAACAATATTTCCATCACTTTTAATCCATCCGGATTTTCTATACAGGATCTGACAAATCAATAAATTCTGCTCCAAGGCCCTTGTGAAAACGGACTGTACCCTCTGCAGATTCCGAACTCCACCAAGCAGCGATCCGCCTTCGTTTCTCACAAGAATAAGCCTATACAATGGCATAGCAGGCTCGGACACCCACACCAGCGTGTTCTTTCTTCCATTGCCAAAAGCAATCCGTCACTTAGAATAAATGTTGATTGCATTTCTTGCTTTTCTTGTAAACAAGCTAAAGCACACAAACTTGTTTTTGACAGTTCTTCAAACCGTAGCAAATCTGTTCTTTCTTTAATTCATTATGATGTTTGGGGACCTGCTCCAGTCATGTCTGTTCAAGGCTATCGATATTATGTTCTTTTCATAGATGATTATACGAGGTTTTCGTGGATTTTCCCTATGAAACAAAAATCTGAAGTATATGACATTTTTGTTCATTTTAAATTGCAGGTTGAAAAACAAACATCGCATACGATTAAAACCATCCGGACAGACGGCGGCACAGAATTCCTTAACCAATCTTTCAAGAAATTTCTTCTCACACACGGTATTGCTCACCAGATCTCCTGCCCCTACACACCCGAACAAAACGGTGTTGTTGAACGCAAACACCGACACATAATCGAAACTACCCGCACTTTACTCAATTCGGCCTCCATTCCCTACAAACATTGGCCCGATGCTGCTCTCACGGCTATCTACCTCATTAATCGTCTCCCCTCACCTGTAACAAACAATATGACTCCTTATGAACTGTTACACAATTCTAAACCTACTTACAATCATCTTCGTGTTTTCGGCTGCGCCTGTTTTCCACTCTCTCCCCCTCATACCAAACATAAACTCCAAAATAAATCTGATATGTGTATCTTCCTTGGGTATTCTGAGACCTACAAAGGTTTCAAATGCCTCAATCCGTCCACCAATAAAATTATCATCTCGCGCCATATATCTTTTGATGAAGATCATTTCCCTTTTCACAAACCCACCATAGACTCCACTTGCCAACAATCCGACAATCCCAACATTCCTCCCAAACTTTTAATACCCAGCTCTGCTTCGACTTATCGGCCATCCACCCCTGCAGCACCTCCGTCGTATCCTACTACTAACACACAGCAATCTACTCTTCCTATCATCGAACATCACACCGCTCACACGTCCACCCCGCTTTCCTCACCTCAACCACCTATCAAACATCACATGCTCACACGTAAACAAATAGGCTCTCTAAAACCTCTACCACTCTCAGAACACTCACCAGAACAACATTCCCGATACTCCACACTCGTTCAACGAAGCTTTCAAATACTCTCAATGGCGGGACGCCATGGCTCAAGAATTCCTTGCGCTTCAGAAACAAGGGACATGGAATTTGGTACCTTCTCCTCCCGGTTCTTCTACACTAGGTTGCAAATGGACTTACAAAACCAAATTCAACTCCGATGGCACCATTGCAAAACGCAAAGCACGGTTGGTTGCTCAAGGCAACCATCAAGAATTCGGTCTTGATTATACAGAGACCTTTAGTCCTGTTGTTAAATTACCCACCATTCGTATAATGCTCGCTATCTCTCTCAATTATAACTGGCAGGTACAACAACTTGACGTTGCCAATGCCTTCTTACATGGCACCCTCACGGAAGAAGTCTTCATGGCACAACCGAAAGGCTTCGAAGATCCAAACTACCCGAACCACGTGTGTCACCTCAAAAAGGCAATATACGGCTTAAAGCAAGCATCAAGACAATGGTACAACACTTTTACACATTTTCTTGTCACCATCGGCTTCACTCACAGCTCCGCGAACCCGTCGCTACTCACTTTTCACCAAGACAAAGTTCGCATTTATCTTCTCGTCTACGTAGACGATATCCTCATTTCAGGCAACGACGACGACGCTATTTCCACGGTAATCTCTAAACTAGCCAAACATTTTTCTATGAAACATCTAGGACCGGTTCACGATTTTCTTGGCATTCAAATTAAGAAATTAGATGGCGCTTATTTTCTTTCTCAAAGCAAATACGCTGCCAACATTCTTCAACAAACCGGACTCAGCGGCTGCAACCCCTTGGCCAACCCGAACTGTACAAAGTTTCCCCCTACCTATCAACTCGATCATGCATTTTCAGATCCTACCTTCTATCGTCACATCACGGGCTCGCTGCAATACTTAACTATTACACGCCCCGACATAGCTTACACCGTCAACCAACTATCCCAACACATGCACGATCCTCAACCACAACATTTTTACATGATCAAACGGCTACTGCGTTACATACAAGGTACGTTAGATTTCGGATTACCCGTCACCAAATCTAATCTAGTCTTAAAATCTTTTTCAGATGCGGATTGGGCCGGCGACCCAGTTTCTCGAAAATCGACCTCCGGTTACTGCTCCTACCTCGGCGACAACCTCATCACTTGGACAGTCAAAAAGCAATCAACAGTCGCACGTTCCTCCACTGAATCTGAATACCGGGCTTTAGCCGCCCTCACCGCAGACATCATATGGCTACGGCGTCTTCTATCCGACTTCAACATTCCTCAACACAGCCCCATGGACATGTTTTGTGACAACCTCTCGGCAATCGCTCTGGCCAATAATCCCGTCTTTCACGCCCGCACCAAACACATCG